GACACAGACAGTGACGAACAGCGTTCAGAGTGAAGTGGAGGCAGCAAATAAAAAAAAAGTTAGAGGAGAGAAGGAGTGAAGACAGACGAAAAATAAAATGTCAGACGTTTTAAGCAGAGTATGATAATGAAGGAGATTTAGGAGCAGAGGGTGACAGTTAATGTGCAGGCAGAAGCGAGGTGTCAGGAACGGTGGAAACTGGAGGAGTAACTTGAAGCAAATGAATTTAAAGAAGTGGTAGTGTGAAAAATAAAATATAATGATGAGGTACACTGGGGTGAAATTATATTTGAGAAAATATGCATGGAAGTGAAACGTCCAAAGGAACAAGTGCATGAGAAGATGAAAGTTGGACATGACAGCAGACGGGAATTAGACATCGACTAAGAAGAGGGAGGGCAGGAGGAAGAGGAGGTGGAATAAGAGGAAGAGGAGAGTCCACGTAGCAATCTGATTGCAGGTAGTGGATGTATGTGGTGGCCAGAGTTTAATAGCTGTAGGTATTTTTAACAGTCAGACCCAGCCTCTGGGTGAAACGAGGTGAAGTGATGCAGGGTGATGGATGTGGATACGAATGCTATGGATTGGAAATTTTACAAGATGTAGCTCAGAAATCCTTCAATACTGCTGTGGCTCCAGCACCAGGTGCAGAACAAATGTGCTTGGATTTCATATACGCATGAACAGGCAACATCCCTACATAAAGACCGTTTATCTAGTTACCAAGTATAATAGTTTATAAAGCTAACACAAGCTGCAACTTAATGTATTTCCACACTGACTAACTGAAAATTAATAATTCATACTGTTGTTGTTCAATATGCAGACAGCTGTGCTGCTAAATTTTAAAAGGAATATTCATCAGTGAAACCATCCCACCGGCCTGGGAGAAACCTTAGCTGTGACACAGTACTATTTGTCAGTCCATAATCATGAAAAAAAGTTTGATACACTGGGGTTAAACAAAGTATAAACAAGTGTTCGTTCCAGACGCTTTAGTATAAACGTGAAAGTGTTCGTTCCAGACGCTTTGACCTCCTCCCTGAACAATATTAACAGAAATAAACAGATGGTTTTCTTCAGACTCCACTGTGATACAATAAACATAAACTACTTCATAAAAGGGTTCAAAATAATTGTTCTCCGCTTTACTGATGATTAAAAATCCACAGGAAGAAAGCCGAGTGTTTAAAAGTGAAATTAAACAATCACATATTCTCAGCGTGTTACTCGTTTTCCCTGCAGCTCCGCCTTCACTGTAGAATGACAGTTACTGCTGCCGCCATTTTTAAATCCACAAGGGTTCGCTGTCACTTTTCACTTAAACACAAACACTGCACTGCCAAACATAATGTACAACCCTAAAACAATTCAAATAACGCAGTTCAGCAGTATCGAACGACATGCAACGACTACACTGTAACTGCAATGACTGGTGAAATAGATATAAGCCGCCAAAACTCACCCGATGTTCGGCCAAAGTGTGGAGACCCGTGGACGTAGTGGGACGATTCCCAGCTCAGTAGAGACGAAATACATCATTCTTGACGTAGATTAGAAACGTCAGGGAGATGGAAGAAAAGAGTTAATTCCCAGAATTACATTACACGAATGTGTTGCACAAAACCAAGACAAAGCTAACCCAGCTAACTTACTGCGGTGATTTATTGTCGCCGGCTAGCCTGCTCCTAGCCATGCTAACAGCCATGCTATGATTAACCGTAGTGATCCACCTGTGTTTCCACCGTCAGTCCTGTGAGGAATTAATGTGTTTTATTGCATGCCCATGGTCTTTGTAAATATGCTGCATTATTTTAATCATCCTGCATTAAAATATTAAATGTTTTACGTATATATTACTACATTGCAACAGTCTTTTATATTGATACTTTTTTAATTACTCCAGCATATATGTGTGTGTGTATATATATATATACACATACATATATATACACATATACATATATATACACACAAAATAAAAAAAGACCTGTCATGTCTGCCAGTTTGTCAGACATATACTAAGACACTCTTCCATTTTTGAAATGAGACCAAGCAAAAAAAGATGTAACCACACTCACCACTTCAGTCAGGGTAAATGAGTTGCCTCAACCCAATTAGCGTGCCATTGTGTGGAATCAGGGAGAATTTAATTACACAAGGGTGCTCATTAATCCCTCTGAATCTGTTACCTGAACCACTGATGAGTCTGTTCACTCAGGCACTGACACTTTTTCACCATGTAATTGAGCAGCTCTATGCATCGACCTCAGAGCTAACTCTGGTGAGAGATTAGCTGAAACACAGTGTGGAACTGATGTGAAAAAAGAAACAAAAAAGAAAAAGAAAGAAAGAATAACGCTCCTCCTGATGATGAGTTGTGAAGGGGAAAAGAGGATTCAAACCATTAAATGACCAATAATAAGTAAATATATCACTAATATGTTAAAACGTTTTGCTTTGTGGCTCTGACAAATGAATTAATTATATCTGGCAGAGATTTAAATGGCCATTCAATTTTAGTTACATCATTACGTTTCTCTAACAATTAGACAAAGCGTCTGAATGACAGATAAAAGTACAAACACTGCCACAGGCGTCAGCCATCTGTGCTGCTGAGATTCCAGGAGGTTTATGTTCAGTCAGTGGTGCAGCGTGGTGAGACACAATGCTGCATCATCTCACCTCCAGCCATTATCACGTTAACGTAATCAATGACAGGTAAAAAGGGTTGTCACAGTAAATCCCAGACAGCTGGGCCAACCAGGATGTAAACCTCTGTGCTGTGATGAAACTACTGAAATTAATACATGATCCACATTTCTTACAAACGTTACCCCAGTTTATCCACTGCTACATGATGATGCCAGGAGTCACGTGTCAGAGGACAAACCAACAAAGATATATTTTTTCATAACATTAAGCTAACGTTCCTTAAGTCTTCTTGACTCTTCTAATCATTTATTTAAGTGTTTCAGCTTGCTTTTGTCTTTTCCATTTATTTTTGGAACGTTCACTTGATTCAATGGTGTTTTTAACTGTTTTTGTAAAACAAATTTGCTTCTGTTTTCTTACTGAAAATGCCGCAGGTGCTTTTAGGTTCTGCTTATTACTGCAACTTGAGCTGCAGTAGTTGTTGATTTTGTCTGCTGAAACCACAGCGTTAATTCTTTTTTTTAATGAAAGAGCAATAAAAGATTATTGATTTAATTACTGGGTTAGGTTCGTCTGGAGGTGAATAATTGGATTTTAGTCGGGTTTTTTAAAATTACACTATTAAATGTTGGAGGTGAAGCAGTGACAGTGAGAGTAAGAGCAGGTACAGTATGAGCTGCTGTTGCTGTAAATACCACAGGACAAGATGTGCAGGTGTATAATATGAGATTAGCCTGTTAGCAGTCATCGATGTGTTTAACAAGTAACAGTCTCGTTACATGTTGATGGACTTGAAGGCTGGGCTCCACATGAGAGCTTTGATATTTCTCTGGAGAACCCTGCTCAGCTCGGAGAACAGCACGGCAGGTTGAAGTATTAGAGGTCACCAATTATACCAGCAAATATGACCACCTATATCTCTCTCAGGATGTCCCTGCTCCTCACAGCCTCCAGGCTTCACCCTGCACATTGATTTCCCTATAATTGCTGAGTAGACAACTTGGCTGATAGTAAATCCTGCTGCTGCATTCTCTCACTGTACAGACATTATCAGTACGTCAGGACAAAACAATTAATTTTCTTTACACCTTTGGTAGTTAGGTCATGCAAATAACAAATATTGAATGTCAACATCTATCTATCTATCAATCGGTCCGTCCTTCCAAACTGTTCTTATGTTCGGTTTGTTTATAAATCCTTTAACTGAAATCCCTCGTCAGAACAGAAGCCATCTGGTGATGTACTGGTGGTGTCAGGGGAGCAGGTGTCCCCAGTCAGTGAATCAGTGGTGCGTGTGTTTGTGTGTGTGTGTTATATGGCTTTTCATAGTGCCTCAAAACAAGAGTGCCCTCTTGTGCGCCTTCTGATGCTGCGGCTTTGCATACTGCCTCAAAACAAGAGTGCCCTCTTGTGGTAATTAACGTCCATGCACAGACCAGGGTGTGGTCAGCACACGATGGAACACATGTACAGCCCTGACTTTCAGCATCATCACACCATACACTCGTGTCAGACAGACACGTTTGAGTAAAGAGTAAAGGAGACAGCAGCAGGACATCAGAGTGAGAAATGTGTCAAACGTCTGGTCAACAACTCATAACAAAGCATCACGGAATTCACATCAATCATTGCAAAACAGTTTTTAGAAAAATATTTTTCCTGGTAAATTAACTCAATTAAATATACATATCTATATATATTTGTCCGACCTTCTGTTACAAAGTAAGTAAATGGAACAGAATACAAAGCAAACCTATTATTAAATTTGCTTTTACATTTTCAAATGTGTCACTTATCGTTATGGCTTCTATTGCGTGCGGCACAAGATGGAAGTAATTGGGTGAGTTTCTGATATCACGACCTGATATTTTCTATTCTTATAAATGTGAGGGAGTTCTGATATCACAACCTGATATTTTCTATTCTTATAAATGTAGTTATTGATGTGACAGCCGGGCCAGGCTGTTCGTGAGCCATCATCATCCCTGCACTGTCAACAAATCAGCAGATAAACAGGAAACAGCGAAGCCACAGCAGGTCTCATTACAGCCCAGTAAACAATATTTCCCTGGATGCTTCAGCTTGTGTTCAGGTTCATCAGAGTAGCTTAATGTGATTGAGCTTGGACGTTATGAAGACATGTGATTTCTATTAAAACCAATGGAGTCACGTTTCATTTAATTACTAGGTCAACATTTGTTTGTGTGAGTCTCAGGCTGAGGTACAGTCGTGATGCTGTCAAATGAGTTATGATTAAAACTAATGATGTATGTGTTTTAGGCACACGACGCAGAAACAAACAACAAACTGGTCCACAACACACTGGCAAAGAAAACTCAATAAAATCATACAAAAGGGGAACTCTTTATTACTGAGATCACATATTCATTTAATCCAACGTTTTGGTTGTTTGTCTGAAAAAACAAAACAAAAAACAGAAACGGAGACATGTCTGAAAGACACTGTCAAACTTATGTGAAGTACAGATAAGTAATAAATCTTGGTAATAAAACATAAAAACAGAAAAGACGATGCTTTCAGAAGACGTGAGAAATAAATACTGTAGTATTTGCTGTGCTTTTATACAAACAACACTGTTTGATGTATAGGAGGAGGTTGAAATGAAATGTCTCCTACAGCGAGGAGACAAGTTGGTCCTTGGTCTGGAATAATCTGTCTATGACTTTGAAGCTAAAGAAGACAAAAGAAGAAGAGAAAAACGTATTTACACCGAGAGAAAAGATAGATGACAGAATAAAATTAAAATTTAACCTGATGCATGGCACAAAAATCTTACAGTAGAATAAAAAATATTGTCACCTGTTTTATTGTACATTTAACATTTTGGAAAATAACATCTTGTGGTCAGCATTGGTACTGCACGAGTAACATATATATATATATATATATACACATAGCTATATATATATAGCTCAAAAAAGGTTGGGAAACTGCTGTATGCATTCTGCTTTAAACAAGAATAATAATCTCACCACTAGATGTTGCTAAGTGACACATGGTGCAACGTTAATTAAAAAAAACACATTAGTCTGAAAGATATTAGTGAATGTTCTGAGCATCTGGCTGCAGAGAACGCTTATATCCTGCTGCGTGCGTTCACTGCAGGGTGACATGTGATTATTCAAAATGTATTAAATACATCAACAGCTGCGCGACTATGTAGTAAAGACCGAGCCGATACTGTTTGTGTCCCGGGTCGACAGAGTGACACTGTGTAGGTCGGAGGAATCTTAACCTTCTCTGTACTAGCAGGTATTTGGTTTAATGCACGTCAACAGAAATATTATAAATATTCATACAGAGAGAGCCTCATGGCCAGTCATGTGATTAGTGTGGCAGCGTCACGGTCCAGTTGTGACTGATAGCTGGCCGACAAGGAGCCCGTTTCACTGCTGTCTACGTTTGTTTGGATTTCACTGAGGTACATTCACACCCAGACAGCGGCTGCTGTAATTTGTCTGGCAGCTGGCCAAAAAACACTGCACTCTCACGGGACCGACCCGAGCCAAACTTGGCAGAAAAGGAGTTTGTTATCTGAGGCAGCTGACCAATAAGGAACCAAGGTGGCATTGTGACGAGGAGAGTGACAGCTGAGTGAGTGTGTGTTTGTGTGTGTGTCTACTAACATTCACGCACGTGTGTTTACATGGTGCGATGCACAGACTTAATTAATTTCTCAGAGACTAAACACAAACCTAAACCACTGACCCTAAAATCATTTTTCACGTCAACATGTTGGTTCCAATTAGCCGGTATTTAGTCAGTAATTTGTCTCCAAAGACACACACAGACACGCTCTTCAACATCTGTGAGGACCCTAATGGTGTACTTCACCCCTGTCACACTGTTACCTCTGATTGGTAAGAACCAACACTTCAACATTATATGACATCAAATCCCAAAGCTCAGTGCACTGGCTCCAATGAAGCTGAAGAGTCTTGTAACTTTAACACTACCGTAGATCCACGACTGACTCATGACTAAAGATCTGTAAAGAACGACAGTTCTTGACCAAGTGTGATGTCGTGACTGACTCACCTCAGAGGCCCAAACACAGCCTCAGTTCCTCCAGAGTCAGGCCTCGGTCTCCGTCCCTGTCACAGTACTGAGCGAACTTCTTTGCACATCGCCGCGGTTTCAGCTTCCGCCGGAGAAACTGACGCAGAGGTCGAGCCTCACGTTCACTCAGCACCCCGCTGGAGTCCACGTCCAGCTGACCAAAATGCCACTGCAACACTTCCTGTGGGTTTGAAGACTGGACGGCCTCTACAGACGTTGATGGAGAAACGCTGAGTGTTGAGGAAGAGGGGGAGGAGGAGGAAGATGCAACAGGTGTTGAGGAGGAAGAATTGGAAATGACCCTGGGAGAAAACAAGAAGACAAAAGTTTAGGTTATTTATTGTTGTTGTTGTTGTTATTTCTGTGAAGCCTACATTTGACATATTCCAGTACATTTCATCTTCCTAATTAGTTTATATATTTAAAAAATAACATGGTGGGTTGAGAGGATCTGATGTCGACCCCAGGCAGCAGCAGGTGACAGACCTGTAAGACGACTGAGGCAGAGTGTTCCTAAAGGTTTGGCAGCTGTCAATCCTTCATCGTTGTTGTTTCTTTTTTCTAGAATTTTTAATATGGAAAATTGTCCATGCTGTTGGCTCCAACTATCTACATGTCATGCATTCATTTACAATATTTAGACTTACTGGTAAAGATTCAAACTCCCAGAATGCTTTGCTTCCAGTTGCAAGGCTCTGAGCAAACTTTGTAAGAACTGCTCCTTACGAGGGCCAGGACAACCTGTGAACCAATCAAAACATTTATTACATTAACAATATAAAATCTGTTTCTTAGTTATATACCAATATATAGTTTACATGGGACGTTATCTTAAAAATTAAAAATTCATGTTGGAATCACAGTACTGTACCGTAATGAAGAAAGTTTATTCGTCAGACTGACAACTGACACTGGAGTTATCAGGACATATGGTCTAAGCTTTGATTGACAGGCAGCAGAGGATTGTCAGGGAGGTGTCTATCAGGAGTCATCCATGTTGGCACTGGTGCTGAACACAGAACTGGAACTCCCTGTAGCTTCAGTCTATATGCAACCCTACAGTACGTGTTGCCCTGGGAGGGGGGGGGAACCAGTGGGAGGTGTCTCTCACCTATAGTTACTTTGGATTGGCTTCAGCTCCCACATATTCAAAATGAGACGGACAAACTGTGTTGAAGTTGAGTTTCTAACGGTTTAAAGATGTCTGATAATATTTCAGATTTACCAGGCAGAGGTTTTTCACTGAGATTCCTGTCAGGTCGGCCTGGATCACCTTCTACTCCAGAGCAGTCTGGGATACTATTTCTGCACAGACACGATAAACAACAACATTTTTGAGCAAAAACGAACACAGAAAAATGTTGAAGAAAATGGTGCAAAAAGTAAATACTCAGCCCATATAATACATGGTAATTGCAAAATAAAATTGTTAGGAATGTCCGATAATATCGGCATTAATATTAGCATATTATGTAATAGCTGTAAGAATCATTATCGGTTTTTCCTCCGATAATGAAAACCTGTTCCGCCAAATGATATGGGCCTAAAAATAATTTTGGGGATGAACAGCTGTATGTTAAAGTGAAAGTCACTAGATGGCAGCATTGTAGCTCATTTAATTAATCTCATACTCATACAGTGGTTTGTACAGATAAATAAATAAATATTACCAGGCCTACATCGGTATCTGTTGATATCAAAATCAGAAATTACTGTTGATATCAAAATTGGAAATTAAGTGTTAGGACAATATCGGCATATCGGATATCGGCAAAAAAGTTAATATGGGGGATCCTTAATTTAAGTCATTGTCTGTTTGTGTCAATCAAATCTGAACACAATAATGAACAACAAATTCAGTATAAAAGTTAATAAGAATATAATGCAGACAAGAGAAAAGGAGAGTTAGATAAAGCAAGCTAACACACACACAAACACACACACACACACACAAACACAGAGTGGAAGCCAAACACTTAATAACATCATAAGGCCACAGGGGGATTTTCTTCACACCACTGATCCGGAGAGAACATGACATGAAAACATCCCAGACTGTCCTCTGAGGAGCCAGTCAGCAGCCGAGCATCAACAAGGCTGATGAAACCTCTGGAGAATAAGAGCTGGACTTTTATGTTCTCTCCTAGTCCCCGGGGAACAGACACAGGAGCTGTTCTAAAATTGGATAATAGGAAATGAAATGCCTTAATGAAGATTTAGATTTAAAGGGAAAATGAAAGTAGGGGATTATACAGATGGGAAAAAAAAAACAACAACAACAACATACAGAACAAGCTGAAGAAGGTCAGGAAGAACGGAGACATTGAGACATTACCTGGTGGAGGTGCCAGACAGTGGCCTGCCGCTGTCCACCCTCACACACCAGCAGTAGCCTGTGGCTGTGTGACACTGCACAGGGTTGTAAAAGCCGTCTGCAGTGCATTCTGGGATGAAACGCTCGTCCTGCCAGACTGAGAGAATCTGAGAGAGCAGTGACGCTCTCTCCCGCTCACACGTCTGAGGACTGTCTGACACACACACACACACCAGCATTAGCCTTTGTCACATTATACTGTATATGCAGTATCACTTCACCCAGTACTCTGTTCACTTGACATGAAGTCTTCAGCCGTTCTTACCTGTGGGTTTTCTGACTGAGTTCATCAGGATGGTCACCCAGATGGGAGGGGCTGTGAGCTCTGGACAACAGAACGTGAACGTTAGACAGGCAGAAAGTAACAGAATAAAAGGGTTTACTAAATTCTACAGTTTTGACTCAGACTGTTATGAATGACATTAAAGTCTTCTTTAATGTTACGTGTCTTCAGTTTCAACATATTTCAATACATTCTGCCTCAACTAACATCATATATCCGGAAATAACTGTTTTCTAATACGTACAATCAAATGTTTTATATATTTATATATTGATATGTTTTAATCAGTCAAACATAACCTGATACATCGTTTATTTGTAAGGCTTGCTATGAAAGTAAACATTAAATATTCCTGGATGTCTAAATTCTTAACTTCTCAGATCTGCCGATTGGCTGGTTAATGTAACTAATCATCTCTTCCTCGTTCATCTTGGAACTATCGCTACCTTCTTGAAGCTAACTCGGGGAAACCTTTGATCTTTTGAGGAATCCTTTAATCCAGACAAAATGTGCTTCACACAATAAAAATAGAGGAAAAAAAAACAAGTGAAAAAGGACAAAATAATCACGACTTTCTTTTCTACTTCTGCAGAAGGGAAAAAAGTGAAAAAGGACAAAATGATCACGACTTTCTTTTCTACTTCTGCAGAAACTGACAGAATGAGGTGGTGTTGTTGGTGACCAGAGGCTGAGGAAACATGGCAGGTTTGGAGGCTTTGTTTACCTGCTCTCGAGACAGCATCTCTTGCCCTCATGACGCCATGGTGTGCTTTGTTCACTGGGCGATAACTAAAAGTGGATTCCAGTGTGTGGGATACGGAGACGAGCCCAGCAGCACGGACAAGAAATCAGACCTGCTGCCTCCTGACTGGAGCAGTAACAAAGAGCTGTACTGCCTGAGATATCAGGCCCGCGGCGGAGACCAACAACTGCTGCTCAAAGCCGTCGCCATCGACTCCGCCTTAATCTTCAACCTGATGAACCTCAGCACCCATCAGCTGTCAGACCTGACAGCTGACGTCAACCAGCATGTCAACGCTGACCAGCTGCACGTTTTTGACAACGTTTACAAAGATGTAAGCAGTTTGTCGACGGAGGTAGAAACTCAGCTGCTGCTAATTCACAGCACACCTACAGGTCAGAGGTGGGAGTGCAGGAGTCAGAGGGAGGGCAGAGGGAGGCAGAAGAGGAACAGAGCCGACAGCTACCCTCCCACTAACCCCAGCAGGCATCCTCACCCGTCTGCTCCGTTCGCTGCAGGAGGAGCTGACCTGGATCCATTAGGGTCTCGTGGAGAAAGTGGAATGATAGTTGACCCACGGAGGTCAAGACAGCCCAGCTTTGGTTTTGATCCATCCAGTGGAGTACCAGACAATCTGCCCCCCGGAGCAGTTCCCCCCGGAGCTCGATTTGACCCATTTGGACCCTTTGGACGACACAGACTAGGCCCAGACCCAGACCACCTGCCTCCCCCTGACTATGATGACATGCAAATGTAGCTAACAGCAGGTGGCCCCGCAGCTGCACTAATAAAATAATAACTCCAGACCACTGCACAATTTTATCAACATACTGTATATATGTTGATAGTTTGCAACTATTTTATTCAAATCAATTTTGATTTAGTCACCTGGAGGTTTCCTAGGGTTCGCTGTAGGCTCGGTCTCATCATCTTCATCTGGAAAAAGAAAAACAATTGTTTTATCATCAAAATCACTTTAGAAATAAAAGAAAAGTTGTTTTTTTTAAATAGTAGAAACTTTTTTTTAGTAGAAACTTGTTTTCACCTTTAATTGGCATCTCAAATTTGGCAACATGATCTGTTAGGGAAATTAATGATTAATCAATGAGGTCATCATAGTGACAGGATTCAATATTTGTGTGTTTTTACTGATGATTAAAACGCTGTCAAAGGTCTAAAGGTCGGACCTGTGCAGCTGGGGACCTCATGAAGAACTGACGTCCCACTGAGAGGTTTGCCATCTGGTGTGGAACACCAACAGTAGCCAGTCTGGTTGTGGCACTGCACTGGAAGGAAGTGACCGTCTGGATGGCACTCTGGCACAAACATGGCAACTGAAGGACTAATGTGGCTGCTGCCCCTGCGGGCGTTGGCCTCCAGGGCCTGAGCCCGGGCCTGCTGGCACTTGGACTGACTTGGATCTGAAACAGGAGAACATTAACAACTGTAAAACTGTTCTCACTGTGAGAAGCCATATTGTTCTTACTAGTACTAGTAAGACTCTGTGAACTATTTATAAAATTCACAAACCGAACTATTTACTACTGTGTGAACTATTTATAAAATTCACAAACCTCCAAACAGTTACTTAAACACCACAGAGTGGTGCTGTTTCTGTGTGTGTGTGTGTGTGTGTGTGTGTGTGTACCTGAGCAGTGGGCTCTTGGAGCCAGACGCAGATGTGTGTTAATGCACTGAGCTCTCTGGAAGGCACACATCGATTTGTACATCCTGCCGTTGTTGCCACACACAGCTCTGTGGCGCCCCCCATGGCAGTCCAGGACACAGCCTCTTGGCCAAATGTTCTCTGTGATCAAAAAGGGCTGCAAAAACAAAAAAATGTACAAATATGAAACTTTTTTTTATACCCTTAGAATCTCTATTGACAACATCTCAAGTTTTATCCAAAATTTTTAACATTATTAAAATCTATTATAAAATAGAGCTTTATCTACAAGTTTTATCCAAATTTTTTAACATTATTAAAATCTATTATAATGTTGAAGTTGTAAAGGAGAAACACAGTAAGAGGCCTGACCATCTGAAACAGTCCTGAGGGGCAGAAGATGAAATTAAAGATTAAAAAATGACACCTAGACCAGACATCAGCAAACTGCAGACCAGTTTTCAACTCGACCTGTCAAACTCAAATAATACTATTTTACTATGTTCCTTTAAGTTGCATTAATCGTCTTTTCAGTTAAACCACTAGATGGCGCACTCCAGACGTATTCTACCTTTGCCACAGTTTAGCCAACTGAAGTCTACATTTCTTGTGTTGTGTAAGTTAAGTACTGCCACAAACATGTCAAGGTATCTGAACTGAGGCAGAGAAAAATGGCAAAAAAAAAAAATGTGTTTGCTCCAAATGAGTTAAAGAGCAGTTTAGTGGTTCATTACACTCAACAGTAGATTTTGTTGGGCAGCACCCAAACATACCAACGCTACCAAACACAGCAGCTCAGTGGAGACATGGAGGAAAATATTGTGGTTGGAAGAAAGAAATTCCACCCTGCTCTGAAACCATCATTTATGAAGTATTGACTTACTGTAAACCCTACACTTGTCACAAATTATTTTTTTTAAAAAGTACTTCACCTGCTGCTGTAGTATAAAATATGTTTCTACAGTTAACACCAGGTTGAGTCCAAAAACATTAATAAGAGTTCACTGACTACTACAACATGAAATATTATGTATAATATAAAAAACCCACTGTGGTTGGATGACATAAGTGTTGAGACAGTTTGAAATAAAAATGATTTGTTTGATTTGGAAATATACTGTGGGATTTATTGGACAGTTGAACTGACAAAGAACTGTTTTCTATGTGTTGATGAACAACATGTTCTTTTTTTTTTTTGTTAATTTTAGAGTCAAGTCTATTTATAGGCATCTTGGAATTTTGCTGCGTTCCTCAGTTAACGATAACTGAAAACAGAACATCTAACAAATGTGTGCTGCAGCTTCAAACTTTATATTGAACTCCAGCAGCAGATAACTGTCCATCAGCTCAAAAGAAGATTCCTCAGTAAAAGACAGCGAGGAATGTCGGCTCGTCACCAACTTCAGTGAAATAATACAGTGAAGAACTCTGCATTAAGGCCGAGTGCAGGAAAACATGATGACATTGGAGCTTTGTTGTATGGAAATCAGCCAAGTCCTGGAACAACTTCTTTGTTCACAATAAAAACATATTGTGAAATTTCCACTTTTTAGGTTGTTACTTTATTGGCAAACAAAAAAAAAAGATTCATGTTGCCAAGATCATTTGCATGTTCTGCCAACGCAAAGGTTTTAACATAAATTTTAAGGAGATACGCTCCCATCAAAACAACATGTGGACTCAATAAGTCGTCAGCGACGGCAGCCTCAGCCTCATTCTGCACAAATCACAAAAGTGTGTCTGTGTTGATAGAGTGACTACCTGCTGTGGAGCAGCTCTAGTCATGTAAAAATGGAACTATGATGGTCACCATCACCATAAGAGCTAAGAACAGGTGAAGTTAAACAAACACACGTCAATGATCCAAATTCAAAACCTTCAGCATCACTAATGTTTCCAGAATATACATTGGATTTTTTTCACTCCAAATACGAGCAGCTCCTCACACACACACAAACACACACATATGAGCAGCTCCTCACACACACAAACACACACATACAGAAACAGAGTTTAAAACTTGTTCCACCTTCTCACTCCCCGTCAGTGCCTCCTTGTCCCCTGCCACCGTCGTAGTGTGACACAGACACACTTGCAGACGACTTGTAGTTTGCAAATTCTGTAGATTTATGTGTAGAACAGCTGGTCAGGTGTTATAGTGTGTGAAAAAATACTCTAGAACAGTGGTGTCCAATAAGATTGGGATTACAGGTACATCATGAGCATTTAGAATTCAAATATATATATGTATATAATTTAACAAAAAAATCTAAAACATCATCAAATCTTTAAACAAAGGGTTTAAACCTGACATACTGAGTGTCTGTGTAAGGACTTTATGACATTACAATGGGACGTTGTGATGATGTCACTACATTTCCATCATATCATTAATGTAAAACGCATTAAGACTTCTTTGGACCTTCTTTTAGTCGACTTCCATTTTTAAATTTTTTTCCTTTCATACAGATATTTTTAAATGAAAGGATGGGGGAGGAAGTGGAACCGTGCAGGAAGAACAGGAAGAACAAAGCTCCAGTCCAAGTAAAGCAGAAGAGAACGTCTGGCCAAACCTTTCTCCAACCGCACGGTCAGACAAACAGCTGACACAGAAGAAAAAGTGGGACTTGTTCAGATGAATATCTTCTCCTCTCATCACGCTCCAGATTGCATCAAGGTAAAATAACAAATCAGAGTCAAGTAAATCATGAGAAGAGACACGGAAAAAAGGACAAAAGGCAAAGGAGGGAAGCGATGAAGAACGGAATCTGGAAATCAGAGCTAAGTGGAGATTGGCTGAAGAAGTGAAAGTGAAGAGAAAGGTAGGGACAGAAAAAAGTCTGTGGATATTTGATGTAAAAACAGTGGAAGGAAATTTAAATAGACGGGAAAAGAAGAAGAAATGGAAAAATATGTGCAGATGAAATCAAGGATAAATACTAAAATCAGGCAGGGTGAGACAGAGGGGAGACGGAGAGTGACAGGCAAAGGATGTAAGAAAGGTGAATGGACAATGCAGTTGATGTCTGGGTGGAGTGAAGAAGGAAAACAAGAGCGAGGTCGAAGGAATGAAGGCAGCGGTGGAGGAGGGCAGCGGTCCAGGTGCAAAGTGCCGGGCAGACGGGATTTCCTGTCTGTCAGGTAGAAACTGCAGCAACTACAATGTCCTCAGTGTTCAAACAATTAGCACCAGTGTTTTTGGCCTTGTAAAAACCTCGGCCATAAGTGTGCGAGCGTGAAGGAGGGGCGCAGGAATCAGGCTCGGAGCGGAGAAAGCCAGAACAAGTTTCTACTGTCTCCTCTGGAACCTCACACCTCCGAGATACAGACGACCGACCGAGCGCTGCAGAGAAACAGACTCATCTCCAAGGTCCAGCAGAACAGACACAGTAAAGACACAGACAGAGTTGGCTGTTGGCCGTCAGTGAAGCAAAAAGAAAGGCAATCAAACAGCTTCACCAGCCAATGGGAAAACAGAGGAACTCAAACTAACTGATAACATCAGTATCAGCGTTCTCCTGAGCAGCTTTTATTTCATAATATTCAACTAAAACAACTTCTTTTATGATCTTTTCTCCAAGTAGCCACACAGACACCAGGCCTCTGTACATATTATTATATATTATTGTATAATTATACAATATTATATAATACAGATTACGTTAGAAGCAGCATTACTCTGCAGTAATTCAGTCTTAATCATGCAACTTTGTACAGTGTGTAGTCTGATGCTGCCCTGATGCCTGTGTTGGTGGGTTTTACCATTTGTCAAACAGGAGTTCATGGAAACATGTTCACACACACACAGACACTTTTCAGAGTTTACAAGCATGTTCAGTTACTGTGAGGCTGTTAGAGCGACACAGAAACACACACTTCTCCATCTGCACCTCTGGAAGTACTCACTGGGACAATGGAACTAATTATTTTCAGTCCCTGATCCCAGTCCAGCTCCACAGCATCAGCCGACCATGTCTACCTAACATATGGACAACAAACACTCAAGTATCACATCACATTAGTAATATTCACATTCACATAGTTACTGTCCGCTCCATACACATACCTGATTCTACAACAACATAGAAGTACCAGTATGCGGCCCATTTTGATGTGTTGTTTCTCATGATTTTTCTCATCTTTAGTCTATTGTTTTACTCCAAAACAACAAATATTTTTCTTGTAATAATGTGAAAAAAACCACGACCTGAATGACAGTTTACTCAGAGAATGGAGGCGTGTTCACTCCTACTGTATGTGTCTCTGCAGTGTGGTACTACTTCATACAGTTCAGTGTACGTAGTTCCTTCATACTGTGTCACAGACTGCTTCACTGCTGACATGAAGTACCAATAAGTTGTGTCACAGTTTCACTGCTGACATGAAGTACCAATAAGGACCAAGAACATTCCTCCTCCTTCCTCAGCAACTCTCCACAACCTCAGCCAAAAACACTCTGTGTTCTAGACTTCACCTGCTGGACTGGTGCCTGCTGACAGGAGCTTCAGTCCACCAAAGACCTGGACTCCAAAATCAAACTAAATCAGCTTCTGTCCAAAGGCAATCAGTGAGTTCAACACACAAAACCACCACAAACACACACTGATCAGCTGACACGTGTGATGCTGCCAGTCGGTGTGTGAAATTCTTCATTAGGGTTCACCTCGGTAACATTTGGTTCTCAGACAGGCAGCTCCTGTGTTCTGACGCTCCGACATTTCAGGGATTTTTATATATATATAAAAACCGAAGTCTTGATGTCTATCACCTTGACATTTATATACATCTAATATTTCCAATAATTCTGTTGCCACCTGAATGTTTGTTGGTTCTGCAGGGACTTGGGGATATTTCACATTTCATTACACCGGCTTTGACAAATATTACAGTCAGTGATGTCTGACCGTTACACACACATACACACACCTGGCTGTTTTCCCCCCTGAGTGGCAAGTTAAACATTTCACTTGGCAGCTGTGTGTGTGTGTGTGTGTGTTTTATCTACTGTAGCTGGTGTTACCCCAGTATCCTCCAGAGAAACACATTCTTACTCACTCACTCATTTGCCGCATCAGTTGAGACAACTTTCAAATAAAACATGAGATTTTTTTTTTTATCCTGAGGGACAATAATTTCTTTTCCAGTGTTGAGCCTGAGGCTGTAAACACTGTTGGTTTAACATTTACTGAACCAATACGGGTCAAAGTTACCATGACCTAAACATTTGAAGTCACGTCTCCCCGAAGTGACCCCTCAGGTCACAGGCTGGTCCTGTCGCAGCCCGTGTCCTTTATATTGAGAACAATGACATTTGGCTAAAACCAAAACTTTACCAACTTTTCAAGGCGATGATGGAGAAAGAGGCGACACTGCTTCATCTCAGTCGTGAGGCAAACAAGACAAACATCAACCACAACTCTCATCCTGACCAATTTGGTGAGTTCTCATTGGACCTGAGCTGAGAGCTCGACCAATCCTGCGTCTGTCCCACCAACATTCAGCCTAAGTCTGTGTAAATGTTTCTAAGGCCTGAGCTGAAGAGAAAACTGTGGAGCCCCAGACCTGACTTTGGAAAAAAGTAATTTAATCCCCGACCACAAAATAGGTATGGTGTGTAGAAGGACTGAAGGTCAACCACTAGGAGACACAATGTTCCTCTGTCAGTGCAGCGGTGAAGCCACTGGATCTTGAACAGGAGACGGAGGCAAGTGTGTTTTTACGCTTAGTTTCATTTGACGTTTGTCACAAAAAATAAAATAAAAGTCCATATTGACAAACTATCAACCTAACACAAACACAATTGTAAATCAAAATGTTGTAAAGCTAACTAAAAAAAAAAAAACTTATGGAAATCCCAAGCCTTCTGATCTGATCATGACTGCAGGTGTTTCCATCAGATAATTATTTCTGATAGAATCCTGGCAGAGATAACAACCTGAGGCTTTGCCTTGGCAACGGTCTAGACAAGGACCAATCAAACGTTCTTTGAATTATAAAAAAAGAAAAAAAAAATTCAGAACAGGTCAGAACCTGTCGCAATGCTACAAAGATTTTAACAGGTTCTCAAAATTTAGATTCCTTTTCGGTTTCTAAATTGTTCATTTTTAGGGGTCAAAAAAGTAAATAAAATAAAATGGATGACATATATTCACACACGTATATATCGAAACAATATATATATATGAAAACAAAATGGCTGTCTTTATCTGCTGATGTAAAATAATTCTTTTGTATTTTTATGAGTTTTTAAGCATAAATAAACATTGACTTTCACACAAAATTAATTTAACTTGAACTCTTTAGGTCACAGCAGACAACAGCCGTGATTAAACGTGGTTACTGGTAAGACTGGGTTCTGAGTCGAGGTTCTTACCGATGTTCTGTCAGACTGAACCGAACCACAGAGCAGCAGCAGCAGCGCCAGGCAGGTGAAGGTGAGCGCGAGCATCGTGCGTTGGAACGTTTGTGTTAAGCTAGCACTTCTGTAAAGGGAGCTAATAGAGGAGAGCCCTCGACTCCGCGTCTCATCAGGGTTCTTCAGTCACCTCTTCACTTCTCACCGCCGTTCTCTGTTCGTCTAAAGCCGTTCCACACTCGTCTTGTGAGCTACACGCGCGCGTCACAGCCTTGAGCCTCAGTTCTGCCCCTTTCCGGTGCGCGCGTGCACAACCGGAGTCGAAGAAGTCAAATTAAAACTTTATCAACTTGGTTTTGCAACTGCAACAGAATCAGGATGATGATTAGTTTGATCACAAACACACTGCTTTGCTAAACAGTTTAGCTTCACTTGGCGTAAATCGTCTAATCAAAATGTAATGTTCATTTTTTTAAAATAAAACTTTGAAATTTGAAACGTTGAAAGTAGTAAATTCAACTGAGATTTATATGAAGAAATATACAAGGCTAAGCTAACGTTTATAGCATTTTTTAAAAACAGCACTCTACAGAAAATTAAACATGCTCTGTGCATTTGAATTACAACAAAGTACTTAAAATATATTTCTGTTCTTCAATATACATTTAAATGTGGTGACTAGTGGTGAGGCTTCTTAAAAATTCTATATCATACTATTCACTACGGAAATAAAAACTTTTACTGAAGTCAAGTGTGATACCGATCTTGGCCACTTGGGGGTGCTGTTGCTTCACCACTTCAACTCCTTTGTTTTAAAAAAATCATAACGAAAAACTTTGAATATTTATAAATATTTCATAAACATTGGTGAATATTTAATGAAGCTAACATTTATATGATCACAACATTTTAATCCACACTTAAAGACACAAAAAACAGACATGACGCAACAGTGTAATTTTGTAAAGAAACTTTTATGTGTGCTTTGTGAAACTCACTTATCATTAGAGACAGAATGTGTTGCAGTTTCCAGTACAGCAGATAAGGTTTGATATTAAAGAGTACAAAAAGGAAAATCACAACTCCAGAGTTCACGTCTCTCCAACCTCACGAGGGGGGGAAAAAAAAACAAAGAAATAGTAAGAAAAAAAATAATTTGGTCCATGTCTTTGTCCGTTTTTCCCGTTTGTCTGTCTGTGTGTCTGTCCCTCTGCCTTTCCACTCTACCCACAGACAGCTAACAAACACTGGAGAAATCAGTCCTGTTGAAATAACACAGGGAACCATCAGCCTGCTTGATGCTCACATCATTCTTCAGGACTCAATTGCTATTGAACAAATCATGATTGCATAGATTTTTTTTTTACACAACAATTTCCTTTTTTTTTTTTTTTTTCAATTTTCATACAATGGAATGTTTACATAAAGACTCCTCCCTGATCTTTGCTTGTCAGTTCTTCCTTATTTTCGTTTCGATCTCCTCAGACAGAAATAAGACTGAGGTGAGATTGGGAAGAAGTGGGTGAGTGAGAAAGGGAGATAAGAGAGAGTAGTTTGTTTGTTTGTTTGTTTTTCCAAATACATCATCAGGAGTGCCCCTCGTTATGTACTAGTGGTGAAGAAAAAGAGAAGTCGTCCAAGAAGAGCCGTCACCAGATCAATCAATCACACCTATGGTAAAGTATGGATTCTAAAAGTGGACCGACAATGACAACAACAATCATGATCGTAGAAATATTTACTTTTGCATTTAAATAAGCACCTGATGCCCACCGCTGCAGCAAAGTCGTTTCACAGAATAGTACTGGGGTGATAACTACGATACTGTCTGTCAAAGGATGAACACAGAAAGGCCTTGCGCCTCCGATAAAGTTCTCCTTTGATTAAAATAACAAAAAAAAAATAAAAACTCAAACCTATCCACTGGTGAAACTGCTCTGTGTCATTTGTTCTTAAATGTCTTTGTTTTTTCATTTAAACTGTGATTTCCTCCATCTTTCTTTGATTAAATGCCATTGATACCTTTGATCACTTCTGTGACAACTGAGACTGTGTCATTCCTCGCACTGGAAAAATAAGTATGTACAGCGCTGAACACCCTCCCTCCCCAAATGAGACCCCACCCACCCCATCAGGTCAACATCATTCCCACCCCAACCCCATTAGCCACCCGCTGCTGAAAAAAGAAGAAAGAAATAAACACAGACAGGAGGAGGTTAAACAGGTCACCTTGTCCAGCAACATGGGAATTATGGGTAAATATTTGATTTTCATCTGTGGTTGGTCGGCCCAACCCCCTGCCCCATAGCATATATCTTTCTAGAATCTAATACACAAAACTGGCCAATCACCACACCAGACCCCACACCGCTCTGTTCTCCTCCTAATGCCCTGGCCCCTCCCCTGGCAAGAAGAAAAAATAAATTGTAATAAAATTAACAAAAATTAGCATAAGTATCAGATTAATATTTAACTCCGGCCCCCTTTCCTTATCCCACCCCTGTTGACCCCCAAAAAGGCAGAGAGGGTGAAGCTAAGGAGCCAAAATGACGGAGCAGCTGCTCGTCTCACAGCTGCGCCTGGATTCATCCGTTCATACAAAGCTTTTTCCAGAATTCTCATTTCTGTCAACGTGTTAATAATAAAGTGGAGCTGGAAAACATTCAACAGAGGCCAAACCTAACTACCTATCAATCAACAAGCTCGGATATTTTCTAAACCGACACACAGGGGCACCTCACAAACGCCACTCAAACTCCTGCTCACACCTGATTTCCAGAACCTTCTCCACATGCAGAAAAACTCTCCGTATTTTTTCCAACTTCACCCCCACCCTCCCCCCACCCCCCATCCAGCTCTCCTCCTCGTCGTCACTCTACAAGTCACTCTCTCCATACAGGGCGGTGGAGAAGGACATGTAGTCGAGGGCGCCGGGGGCAGCATCGGGCCCTGTGTAGGGCGCCATGCGGGCGATGCAGTACTCCGCCTGGTCTGGAGGGAGCTCCCTCCTGAGTTCCTCAGCTGTGATGTAGTTCTGACAGACAAACGGAGAGAAGGGTTCATGTCCCTGTTCACTGTGACATTAAATGGACTGTCCCTGCTCGGGAATTTCCCTCCATACTGAGAACACTCACCTTATCACCAGCCAGGATCTTGAACGAGGCGATGACCTGGTCGGCGGTGTCTGTGTCTGTCGTTTCAGTGGACATGAAGTCAATGAAGGCCTGGAAGGTGACGGCGCCACTAGCATTGGGATCCACGATGCCCATGATGCGAGCGAACTCAGCATCACCCTGGCAGAAGGAAAAACCAAAACAAAACAGGTTAACCCAGAAAAGACGGGTGCAGTCGGATATAAAGACAGACACGGACAGATGTTAACACATTTGAAGGAACGTCACCGGAGAGAGTGAGGTGGTGACACCGTTCCTGATATTTCACACAGATACGGTGTGTGGTTAAAACAAAGGCATTACAGACTGACTGTTGACAAAGAAGACTGACAAAACAACAACAACAACAACAAAGATATGACAAATGAAGACGTTCAGCAGCAGGAAGATGAGGGAGACAGGGTTTCTGCAGGTCCATCATCCAGTGTCACAGTTAGATATTTAAGGTTAGATTTGACATCTCTCAGTCCAGAAGTTTGTTTTAGCCATAAAAGCTTCAGAAGGGATGGAGCGACACCTGGACCTGCAGAAACCAGGTGAAAGAGTGACGACGACGACGATGACAGCAGCAGTACCAGGCTGGTTCCTGTAGAAATGAGTAGAGCCCGGAAATCTTCTGAGACCATCTGTCCTGATCGCTTCTGTGGGCCGTCACATTCACAGGCCGGAGATAAATGAATGGGTGAGGAAAGTGAAGAGTGACAGAAAAGGAGGAGGAGGAAAGAGAGGAAATGTAACACACAGAAGGAAAAAATATAGAAAGAAAATTGAATGAAGTAAGAAGTGTATGTGTGGGAGGATGAAAAAGAAAAAAAAAGATTAAAAAAAACACAAACAGTTAACAGAGAAAGTTACAGAGAAAAAACAAAAACCCCATAAGGTGTGTATGTGTGTGAGAGAGAGACAGAAAGAGAGATAATGAGTGAGCGCGGCATGAAGCAACAGTGACCCCCAGTGGACAAGCAGAGACGTTACATCTTCCGGCGTTTATGGCGATGATAATCCTGGCCTGAACAGAACAAGTCATAAAGAGCATCAGAGCAGGAGAGCAAACTGATCTCTGACCAGTTCTGACTGATTGAAGAAACCAATTAAATATAATTTAGTGTAAAAACACAGTTTTTACAGGTTTTTGTGGCAGAATAAAAACCTTTTTTAATACAGACTTTGACCAGTACTGAAGTCTGTTCTCCTGCTCAGAGAAGGTTTTTGTGGCAGAATAAAAACCTTATCTGTGTTTTTAATACATGGTCTCTACCTCAGGAGACTTTGACCGGTACTGAAGTCTGTTCTCCTGCTCAGAGGCTGAGCTAACATGGGCTCGCCGCCCCTCGTCTCTCCTCCTGGAGCTCCTACCTGCTTGTTGTTCTCCACATCATAGCCCAGACTGATCAAACAGGCCTTGAATTCCTCGGCCATCAGCGACCCAGTGTGGTCCTGAGGTCGGCCAATGACAGAGCACCACATCATGGGGATTACACAATCGTAACACAGGATGTGACGGTGGATGGTGACCGTGCCATTCCACAGCATGCAGTAGGGATATGAGGTGGAGGATGAGGGGACAGACAGAGGGACATGGAGACATTCATGGATGTTTAGACAAGGTCAGTATACAGAACATTGCACTCACCATGCAGCAGTGATGGACAGTGAAGGCAACACAGTTATTTCTACATAGTTGTCCCCATCACATCATTTATCAACTCTAAAAACCATATCTGACAAATACCACAGTACTGTAGTGAAACACAGTGTATCACAAACATACAGTTAATACACTGTAGGTTTTTCAACTGACGTGGACACAGATGTTACTGAATAAATAAAATAAATAATATAATAATACAACAATATATTAATATATTAAAACCTCAATAAACCAGTCAGGTTGTAGATGTTTATGTACATTTATATACAATACCTGATGATACTGATTTTTTAACAGATTATCTAGTGAGAAATAACCTGATTTGTTTGTTTTTTTTAAATTAAAAATATTTCTACAGACTAGAGGGGAGCTGGTGTTTTGAAGTTTGGATGAACATCAACAACAACAACAACGACATGACACAGTCACACAAACATGCTGTTGTGTCGGATGAGGTATGATGGGGATTTTTTTCATTTCAACCATATGGAAGATGGAAGAATTTGACAACTCAACAAACACAAAAGACATTTTTTTAAGAGGGTCACGGGGGTCAGGGTTACATGCTGAGAGATCTGTATACACTAAAATCACACACTCCCATCATTGTGTAAGAAATTATGTTGCGATAAAATCTCAAACAAATCTACCAAAATGTGACAAAGTAAAGTATGAGACAAGTGTAAGAAGAAAGAGCCGTGGACTCCGAGCCCGGGCCCCTGACCTTGTCAAAGTGGTTGAAGGAGGCGCGGTACTCGTACAGCTGCTCCTGACTGATGCCCTTGGCGTCACGGGTCAAGATCTGGTTCTCCACCTCGTTGATGGTCCTGGCGATGGTGGTCAGCAGCTGCTCCCAGCCCACACGGAGATGCTGCAGGGGGACGAAAGGTGACAGAGGACAAGATAGATTTATATACAAGACTTTACATAATGACATTAACTCAATCATTAAAACACTGTTAAAAAGATGATCTGGACCAGTTACCTCCATTGTGTATTTGGTGTACTGGTTGTCAAAAATGAGTGCCTCCTGGATGAGCTGGTGGTATCCCTCGAGTTTGTTGATCTCAGGCATGAATGACATGATGGTGGTCTGGTAGTCCTTCAGGTTGGTCAGCTGGTCCTCCAGGGTGCCGTTCATCTCGATGGATATCCTACCAATTTCCTGCCATCGGAAATACACTGGGTTAATCAAACGTGCACAGCACGTGTGGAACCACGGTGACTGAAGCTCTAATACTGGAAACTCCATCAGTTTTCATCGTCGAGAGGGCATGCCGTAATTTTTAAAATTAATGTTTGCCCATTATTATTATTATTATTATTAGGCTCAGTGGCAAAACTCAATAAAACACGTTCAATCAACAAATACAATAAAAACCAATGTTAAACAAAAAGAGAAAATATTAGAACTACTTTTTGGTGTTTAACATCACTCATGTTTAAATATGAAACTTAGTGAATGAATTAATTTGCCACTGAAGATAGAGGAAAAAAAAACTCATTAAAGATGTTGATTACAAAGAAGTATCCATAGAAACCAGATTTCTCTTCCAGCAAAATGTTCTTTCAAAGTAATCATTCATGACAGTCCAACAGCTGCACCACATTGATCCTTTACCTCCATTTTGTCCTTGATGTAGGCACCGACTGCATTGGCCTGAGTGGCAAACGTGGCCCTCAGTGTGTCGTTGGACTTCTGTTTGTTCAGTTCTTCTTGTAAGGCATTGTCACGCTGTGGCACCATAGCCATTGCCTGTAAACAACGTTTAAAAAATTAATTTAGTGATTTTAATCACAACGTCTGATCAGGTCAAAGAGCAGAACCACAACCAGGCTGCAGCCGTGACCTACCCTCTCCCACTTGCTGTCGATGCTCTCAGGTGTGATGGTGGTGTAGGGGTTGGCTCCGCTCAGCTTGATCCCGTTGCTCTGGGCGATCTTCTGCACCTGGGCCTGGATGGACTGGATGGCCTCGCGCTCCATGTTGGCCTCAGACAGGGTGGACTTGAACTGCTCGTGGGCTGTGATCAGATCCTGAGGACGGACAACGTTTGAATCTTAGTGTCAGACTGAACTGTTGGTTGAACTTTAAATAGACCTGAATCAAATTTGATGGTACCTGAATTTCTACAATGTGACTTTAAATAGATTTGAATCATGGTGACCCCGTTTGATGGTACCTGAATTTCTACAATGTTGTGGACGATGAACATGTCCTGGAGATCCTCCATCGCTCCCTCCATCCAGTTGTTGAAGGGCGCCGCCCTCTTGGCGTACTCCAGGTAAAGCTCATCTATGGACTCCAGCTGCTTCTCTGTTCTCTGTGGACGAATGTCATGGAGTTAAAGCCTCTGCTTGGACTCCAATTTGACACATGGAGAGTGTAAAAATACCACTGTATATTTCATAATAGAGAAGCACTTGCTTTTGAATGAGTGCTCATCAGTTTATTACGTATATATATATATATAACCTGATGAATCTGAAGTTCTGGCACATTCACATTCAAAGTTAAGGCCTACTATCTGACTATAATAGAAAACAATCCATCAGTTTACTAGCAGTTTACTACCACACATAAAACTGAATAACACGTGAGTCATACCTCCAGTGACTCTTTGCGTTTCTGAGTAAGAGCTCCCAGAATGTCCCACTGTTCACAGATCTTCTGACAGCGAGCATTGACGCTAGGGGCATCGTAATAATCCAGCTGACTGGAAATCATAAAAAAAACCAGAGGGAATCAATTTACACACAGTGGAACAAGTAGCTCCAGAACAAAAACCTCCTCAGTTTTATGTTCTTTCGGAAAATTGCTATCATCTTGGCGAAGATCGAGAGCAAACAGCTGTGAACAGAATTAGGGAACTTAACACAACGCAGTAGCTGGAGTTTATTACGTTAGTTGGGATGAATGTGTTTTTGTCCAAACCATTTTGTAGCAGTGGGTGATAGTTGAGGAGAAGAACTCTGCTTAAAAACGGAATCCTCACTTGAGCTCCTGTGCGATGGCAGCGATCTGCTCCACTCTGTCCTGATGAGCTGCCAGGTCGCTCTCAAAGGCCTCGTGCTTCTTCAGCAGCGCCTTGACTTCTGCCAGGGTGGAAGTCTCGTAGTCCTTCTGGGTCAGCATGGCCTCCTTACCTGAACACAATATAATATGAACTTTAAGCATTGTTTTCTGAATGTAGAAGCTCAACAAATCTGATATTACAAGATCTACAGAAATCCCTTCTCTAAACCAGGGATTTCCAACCACTGGGGCGTGTCACATAAGTGTGTCATGTGAGATCATCTAGTGTTGAATTATGCATTTCACCTAAATTGGTTTGAAAAAAAAAATTTATTTATTGAAAATAATGTCTATTAATTCACTTTAATTGGTTTGAAAAAATTATTTATTTATTGAAAATAATGTCTATTATTATTAGGCAGTGAAAGGCAAGACTTCCACTAGGTGGCAGCAGATGGCTATAAAAACTAAAGCTGACTCTTCATCTTCAAGATATCTTTTCTAAGCTGTTATACATTTAAACATTTTCTTGCTCAGCTCTGTAAAACAATTAGCAAATATAAGTAGCAAAATATTGACTACAAAAAACGTCAGTTCTTTTAAGACTGCTCCATGATGTGGATCTGCAGTAAACACTGAAACACTGACGTACCATCAGTCCAGGATTCATGGATGGCAGCTTTTTGGTGGAACTTCTCTGCCAGATGTTCCAGTCTCTCCAGACGTCTGATCTCACTCAGAATCCACTCCTCGTAGCCTTTTTCTGCTCCCTCCAGCGTGTGCCACGCTCCATTGATGTCCTGAGGGGAAGCAGCAGCAGTTACTGGTATTTAACCTTTACTGCTGGGAGTGAAATGAACATCTACAGCAGAGGTGTGTTCAACAGGGGGTCTGCGACCCACAGGGGGTTTGGCAGAGTTGCTTCGGGGTTCTTATCATAATTCTGTGCAGATTATGATAAAACATAATAAAAAAATATTTTTGTGCAACATATAAACAGCCAAACGTATCAACATTACTGATGCCGGCCAGAACTGACTTGGTTTTGGTCTATCTGTTGTGTGAACTAAATCCAGTTTTTTTATGCAGATAGCACAGAATCCTGCACAATTCAGTTTGAGACTTACCGACATGAACAGATTGAACAGCACAATTCAGTTTGAGACTTACCGACACCATGCGTCCCTCTGATGGCATGAAGGCAGGTCTGTTGCTGAGCCGCAGTTTGGTCTGCAGAGTGTTAAAGCTGATCTCAAGCTGACATTTTTCTTGGACCTAAAGTTGGAGGAACATGCTGTTGTTACTTTGAAACAATAACATCAATGAAAGAATGAAACCATGGGGGAAGCGGGTCAGTGAATGCAGCACCAGAGTTGAAACAGTGAATGAACCTTTGGTGGTTTGTGGACACAGCGGTAGTCTCTGAAGTCCTCCTGTTTGGCCTGGAGGTCTTTGACAGTTTTTTCTGGGGTTCGGTTCTCCAGCCATGGGATGGTGCGGTTGATCCATTCCAGCAGCTGAAGGCAAACATGAAGATGATGAGGAGACACTCCACAAAGTTGACTTTTATGGTTAGCTGGACATTTTTCATTTTTTAAATCACAAAAACAACGGCACAGTAGTAACGAATCATTTACTTACATCACTGGCCAGTTTCTCATAATCCTCCATCATTTGCTCGTTCTCCTGGTTGACGGCCAGCACTTTACAGATGCGATTTGCAGCCGTCTCAGCCTAGCAAAGAATAGAGAGCTCAACAGCAGTCACAGACACGGGGCATCATCACTGTGCACAAAGCTTAGTGACAACATTCGCTGTGTCTACGATTATCTCTCTGTGTTGCAAATGAACGCTGTAATTACTTTTTTTTGTAGTAACCTTTGACTTTGAGATTTGACTAAAACCACTAGAATTAGAAAAGTCTTCTCTCCAATCGGGTGCATTCACACTCCACACACAGGCAGTGAACTGGAATAAACCTACACCTAAACGCTAACAAAGAACTGTCATAAAGAACAGTCTCTGTGTTTGACTCAAACATGCTGCGGTTGTTGCTGGTTAGTCCACTGTGTCAGAAACTACATGTGTGTGATTTTAAAGCTCCATGCGCCTCCTGTCACAACTCAGGAGTCAGTGCACACGTCTAGTTACAGTTTCACGTAGCGCTGTGGTCCACGTCAGTGGGTCTGTCTAGGACATTACACCACTGATCCACTGGAAATAAAAAAAACACAGCACAGACAGTCTGACAAGGGGGTTTGTTTTGTATCCTTAAACATAATTATCTCATTCCATCACTACTGACTTTTGCTTGCAGATTTTCATCTTTTAAGATAAACACATTTTCATAGGAAACACATTTGACATCTGCCAAATTTATAGGAAACACATTTGACATCTGCCAAACATAACACAAAAATACAAGTGACAAATGAAAATTGTAATTAAAAGAACCTCTGTTTAGACATGAACATGTTTCCTCCCAAAGCAGAGCTGATTATTAACCTGTGTGTGTACAGCTACGTTCTGTGTAAACTACAAATGGTTTAAATGTGTTCGTGGAATATTCTGGTTTTCCTGACAAACATATGGAAAAACAGTTCTGTCTTTTTGTATTCCTCTGTTTTTTTTTTGGTTTGTTTTCCCTGGTCATTCAGTTGGCCACGTTTCATCTACACAGACAATCACAGATCGAGTTTGATCCAGTTACAATTTTTGGAAGGAAGAAAAGTTCATGTCTAACAAAACAGAAATCAAAGCAACAGAAAAGCGTTTGAGAGTGAAGTCCCATCATGGTCCCAAATAATTACATTGTCTTTAAAACAAACTACCAAAAACATCATTAACCAAAATAACTGAAACCTCTATGTTTTACTTCAAGGTTAACTTTTTTTTCTTTTTGGAAATGAACGATCAAATCAAGGTGACTGATGGGAACCATGGAGTTTCTTTAAAAAAATAACAAAATAGAGTTACTGAAGCATAGAAATGTTAATGTTAGTCTGAAGCGTGAGGAGTTTACCTTCTGTGCACCAGAGAAGGCGTGATAGAAGCAGGACACATAGGTCATTATGGCCTTCTCATCTGGCCTCAGCGTACCAACGATGTCTACACATCACCCCAGCGAAAAACACAGGTGGACACAGAGAGAGAGAAAGAGAAAGAGACCAGTGAAGACAGAGCGACCCAAAGGTGTGAGATCCTCGTCTCCCACTGGAGGGGACGGGGGGACGGGGGGACGAGGCAGCACAGAGGTGGCTGAGGAGAGAGTTTTAATGTCATCGTCTGATCCACGACTGCACACCGCTCCTGCTTTAACGCCATCACCACATGAACGAGACTGGGTTGATATTATAAGGACAAAGACAGGGGACGGACAAGCGTCCTTTGTTTAAAGGACGCTAAAAGGTTGGACACTGACACATAAACTGGTAAATGGTTGTTCGGTTCAGTTTCTGTATTTTTTTTTTTTCATTTTTAATAAGAGAACTTCTCCTTCATCACTGTGGTCTATAGATTTTTCTCCCCAAACAAACATTTCTAGTTATGTGTCTTTGTCTCAACAAATGAGTGTGTTTGTTGAAGCAGTTGTGTAGAGACAGTTGGACCATGCTGGACAGGAAGCAGCGGCAACACCTTGTTAGTAACAGAGAGTCAAAGGTCAAAGTCCAGGTCACAGGGTACCTTCTGCGCTCCAGAGAAGGCATGGTAGAAACTGGAGACATAAGTCATTATGGCTTTCTCATCTGGACGAGCAGTGTTCACAATGTCTACAAGGGGAAGGTTATGAAGACACACACACACAGGCAAGATGATGGACATGTGATTATACACAAGAGGACACGTGTTTGGAGAACAAACGCTCAGAACAAACGGTACAGGTTGTTGAAGCTGCAGGCAGCAAATTCAGACGATAAACACAGATACAAATTAAACACAAACAGTAACGAGACACAGGTCAGACCAATGAATCACTGCACTAAAAGGGTTACTTCACACTCACCTTACGCACGTATTTTTTTTACAGTATGTATTTAATATAATATTTTTAGGTCAAATCTGCTTCATCTCTTATTTAGGATTATTTTGGGGCAACATATAATAACTTCAGTGTCTGGTGTTTTCTGCTGTTCAGATTCTGCAGCAGCACTGGACACAGATAATGACTGCAGCTAATGTTACATTTAAGGCAACAATTTTATTATGCTACAAAAAAAAAAAATCGGCCAGTTAATTATTTATGAAATATATATTTATATATATGTAAATGTATATATATATATAAAGTGATGATGGTTGACCCAGACACACACACAAAGACAGCTGAGACAACAAGTGATGATGGTCGACCCAGACACACACACACAAAGACAGCTGAGACAACACAGGGACAAAGACATGTCCTTCACATTCCGAAGCATTCAAGGACACACAGAGTTACAATGGGACGGAGAAATAGGTTCAGAGGTTCCATTGATCCTGAGGAAGATCTGATCAGATGATCAGCTGTAACAGCTCACACACAGTAACAGATCAGGAGACCCACAAACATCACATCACATCACATCACATCACATCACATCACAGACCCTGACTGCAGTGACAAAAAAATGATATTCAGATCAATAGATTCATGGGAAATGCTAAATGCTGTCCAACTACATATAAATAAATAATGTATTAACTTATATCATCTGTATTTAAAGAGTACAGCGATGTCATGGACATTAGGTTAAACAATAACAGACAGTCATACAGTGAAGGCTAAAAGTGATCTCGATTGACAACAAAAACACACTTTCTTTTAAAGGTGATAATTAAAAATGATAATTTCACAATTATTTTATCTTCAGCCAGGGTTTAGGACATCAGTAAAAGTCACTGTCTTACCATCTGCGTCCAACATCTTGGGGATGTCCAGGTGCTTCTCAGCCACCTCGAAGGCGTTGTTCAGATTGGTCACAGGGTCGTCCTACACAAGCAGTCGGTGTGAGACATTTGTTTAAAGATTTATCAGTTGTCTGTTTGTTATGTGCATGTGTGTGTGTGTGTGTGTGTGTGTACCTTTCTGAGGCTGTCATAATCAATGAGGTCAGGTCTGTGTCTGTGGATCAGAGCGTTGAAGGCGAGACCATCCTTCCAGCTGTTGGACAGAACAAATAATTATAAGACCAGAGAAAATAACCATATTAATGCAATCACTGAAAAATACAGGTGCATGTTCCACCAACAGGGGGCGACATTAAACAGAATACGAGCAGTGAAAACGAGATGGGGTTCAGTGTGACTTTTTAACATTTGGTGCAGGATCCGGGGGTCTTACCTGATGTGGAAGTTCTGCACGTTGACGTTCTTGTACGGAGCCGTCTTCCTCTGACACCACAACAGAAGACCCTCCTTTGCAGACGTCTCTGCAGAGTGGACAGAAGAGAGAAGGTGGGGACATTAGGGTCAATCAGGAGCGTCAGTGAGTTTATTTATTTCACAGCTCATCATCAGAGATGAAACAAACAGAGAACACCAAATCTAAAGTGCTCTGCACTTACACAGGATGCTTTTGTTTACAGCATCAACAGCAGAAAAGTATCCGTCAGTGGAGGAGGAGAACGAGGGGGGGGGGGGGAAAAAATGACTCTGCATTTCTTGTGGTTCCTTAAAGCCTTGAATGTTTATCTGATTGGTCAATGTTTAATGTACCTCTGACAGAGTAATAAAAGAGTAGCTTATACAGTACTTATAGAAACTGTGTATTAGTCCTTTATAGCCCCATTGTAAATGTATGTTTGATAATGTATCATACAAGCCACGCCCCCGCGGTGCTGTTTAATGTAAATAATCTCAGAGTGGTAGGAGGTGATAAAACCCAGGAACTCGCTTTCAAAATATAATCACTCCTTTATTAGGAAATATATGGCTTTACTCTTTTACTGATGATATGCAGAATCACACTGTCTGGTCTATATATACACAAACTGTCTGTGATAATATAATAGAAGCTGCACCAGAAAATATTTTATTAGTATTTTATTGTAAATTTAGCCAGATATGCACAGTTTTTTATCATTTAAAAAGTTCAAAATTGTTTCAATTTGGAGGTGCAAACGGCGGGGCGGGGGACTAACAGTGACATCACAGATTAGGTCAGGAAGAAATGATGTGCTATTTAAAGTATTCTTTCCTACATTAATAAATACTGTCAACATATTTAGCCTCACTGCGTCTTGACCCGCAGCATATGATTAGGTGGGAATCATGTGTGACAATAACACTGCACATACGTACACGTCAATCATCATCACTGTTCAACACGGCATCGTTAGCCCAGACGGTGGCAGTCGGAGCGTGTCACTGTTGGTGAGTTTACACAGCTTTGTGTCCGAGCAGATGTCAAACATCAATCTCTGTCTCAGGCCTCAGTCGGTTCATTAACACTCATAAGTCGGGTGACATCCACACCGCCGCTGTGCCCTTCAGCAAGGAGCTGCGTGTGTGTGTGTGTGTGACCCAAAGTGACACAAATTGAAGCTTTACCTTCTACTGAGATATCCTGGATGGCGAAGCGAAGGATGATGGTCCAGATCATTCCCAGTGTCATCTTCGCATTTCCATCCACAATTTCTAAACAAAAAACAAAAAACACACAGATTAAAAAAACAAACTCAGGTTCAATTCGTATCCAGTCACTGGAATTTAAATCCTGTAAATTCAACAGAGATCCGTACAGTCTTACATCTGCTTTCCCTTGTTAAGTAATGCCAGTACACCCACACAAGTGCACTTAGTGTAGCACGGCAACAGGGTCTCCAGAGAGACCGCAGGATGTTCTAATGAGAATGTCTTGTGTTATTATTTAGTGATGACAATATATATCTGTATTTGTAATATATAGAAGGAGGGAGAGGAGGTATATAGTTGCAATGTTTTTGTCCCACAGACATCCAGATATCAGACAGGTCAGTCAGGACATACTGGAGTACAAGGAGACTGACTCAGAGACCACAAACACAGTAGATAAAAAAATAATAACATCTAACCTTAACCTCCTTCAGTTTATCAGCTGCAGCCTGGGACTGATGTCTCTGAATCACTAGTTTGAACTACTTTTCTATTTCTGTTTGCCCTGTATTATTTCTGACCCATTTATGTCAAAAAACAATAATAAACTTGAGCCTTTTTTTTCTATTAATTAATTATTAATTATTTTTGCTCCTTCTCAAACAGGCCTTCTATATAGTGAATTCAGTTTCTCAAATTGATTAACCAGCCAGTTTACCATAAACTGTAGTCAAAATGAATGTGTGTACGGGGGATAACATTCATGTAGTTCACAGTTCCTGTCATTTAGAACTGAATGTCGTGGTGGACCTGCTCACCCTCGGCTCCAATGGAGACCAGTTTCACTCCCTTGCTTGCGATGAAGCCCAGCGCTTTGTTCACGTTGTTGATTTTGTGGACCCTCATCTTGCCTCGCTCAGGCTTGGTTAACCGCTCGCCTGTGAAAACACACACACACACACACACACACACACAGGGAGTGTGTTAGCTCCTGCTTTGTTTCCACAGTCTCAGCAGAAAGAGAGACCGTGACGGTCGAAGTCACTCCAGTGTTGTTTGCAGCAGAAGTAACTGAAGTCGTAGTGAAAAAAGCGGCAGCCACATGAAAGGCCGCGCTGCCTGAGAGCCGCGGAGACGATGATGTAGACGCCAACAGAAGCAGCTTCTTTACTACATCACAGCAGGGTTCACGGTGATACAGAGTGACAGATGAACAGCAGGGTGTTCCCCAAACCCCTGTGATCCACACTGTGGCTGGAGTCAGTGAGTGACCACACCCTGGAGGGGGACAGCAACGCTGCCCGTCTCCGACATCTGAAAACGTTTATCATTCTGAGCGACGACGCACGAGACTCGGCTTTGAAACTCAGGTCACGGCTTAGTGACTAATGAGTACGTGTGCGTGCACATGTGTTGGGCGGGGCCGTTATCATTACAACCAGTGCATTTTAATTAATAACGTTTCAAACTTTCGGTAGCTTTCATATTGCGAGGCTGCATTACCTGAGATGACCTCGAGGAGCAGCATGAGTTTGAGTCCGTCCCTGAAGTCCTCCTCAATGTTTTCGATCTGCGTACCTGCCTTCCGTAGGTGGGAGTTGCACCAGGCAGTGAATGTCTAAACAAAAACACACAAACAGGACATAAGTGATTATTCAAAGGCCAGCGACGGAATGTTTTGGTATTTGTTCCAATAATAAACCAAGTGGAATCAAAGAAAGTCAATTCAATAGACAGGAAGGAAGGTCAGGGGTCGTCATGATAGAACAGGACATAGGAGGAAAAAAATGAGAGGACGTTGGATGTTATGAGACAATATGTAACAAACTACAGCTATTATTATAGAAGAATGTCATCCCTAGATCACAAACATGGAAATGTTTTTTGACATTTTCTACTTCAAGTGAAACAATAAATAAATAAATGCAGTCTTTGTTGAATCCTGCTGATCTGTGCCACAAAAAAGAAATAAAACTACAACCGCTGGCACATCAGAAACTACCAGTGTGTAAACCCACACGGACAAATGGAGCCACAGGTTGAAACACACTGCCATTAATCCTGAAACCCCAACAGGGGGCAGATCCCTCTGATATTTAGAAACCAGACTGGAATCACACTGACAAACATCTGTGACACATGTAATTAGATATCAGAATGGTCCACCAAATCACAAACATAGGACATATGGAGGGAGGGCGAGGACACACACGCCTAAAATCACACACACACATCAATAGCGTTTGGATGTGTGTGTGTTTGTGCCTCTGGTTTGCCAACATTTTTATGAAATCTGTTTTGAATCATTTTATTTTGAAGGAGCTCGTGGCACCAAGGTGGGCACAGGACTGTGGACAGGCTGTTGTCCTGACATCGTCCCCAGATCTTCAATACAACAAACCTCCAGCGTCAAAGTCACTGGTTTTCTAACAGATTTTGAACTGACTGCAGAAGTCCAGAATGTAACACATGACCTATGACCTATGGTCCAGAATGGCTTGTGAAAACCTGGAAACATCACTCCCATTACATAACAACTGATGTGAGACGTCTCTTGGCTTTAAACTGAAAATGCTTCCACCATATTTTAAGACCCTTTCTTGCAAAAAGAAAAAATGGGACACTTCTCAAGAGAACCAAAAACCGAGTGTCAAAAACACAGTTGTTTCAAAGTCAATGTAGACCATCCTATCCAACTCGTTATCCAACATGTTTTTGTTTTTTGTTTTTTGTTTGCAACATCAGCCCAACTTTCATAAAACGGTTGTTTCAAAGTCAACGAGACATGGATGTTGACAAAGAAAAAGAAAGTCAACGTAGACCATCTTATCCAACTCGTTATCCAACGTTTTTTTTTTTTTTTTGCAACATCAGCCCAACTTTCATAAAGTAAAGCTGTGAAGGCAAACTATTAAAGTCAACATTTTCTGCCCCCTGCAACTGCAAGAGAATTTCTGTACAAGTACAATGCAACATGAGGCTGGTTTAGCCCTTTACCTCGGTCGGTGTAAACATTAGCAGTGTAGTAAAACTCAAAGATCGAGTACACATTACTCTGTAAAAAAAATATCACAACTTCCACCGACAGACCAATAAAAGAAGCATCAGTCAGTATACAGTGAATAACTACCAACATGTCCACGACTGTTTATGTTTTTTATGTGTTTACACTGGACGATCAGAGTCACCACTGCACCTCCTCTTCCTCCCTCCTTTGCTCCGTGTGGTAGTAAACATTATGACTGGGTGCTGCCCCTCTCCCCTCTGTCCCACTGCAGCCACAGGCACAAAGCACCCATTCAGCCTGCTGGATAATAGCACCCTTTACTCTGGTCTCGCCTCTTCTCCCCCCTCTGTCCCCATCTCCACCAGTCCAACACCAAGCCCCGGTGGACCTACCAGTCCTATGCACAATTAGAGAGTTTCCTCTCTGAGACTTGACCAGGACACGAGGAGGAGGAGGAGGAGGAGGAGGAGGAGGATCTTACATAAACAAACACATATACAGACGGGCAGAGGAGGGGGGGAGTGGAAAGACAATAACCCCCTCCCACCCCGCGCTCCCTGTCTTTACACACCCTCTCTCCCTCGCAAAGTTTAAGACAATGCAGCAGGAAGTGGCACTGCAATGACAGGAAGTTCCTGCTCCGTTTAGCACACAACAATGTGGTGATACATCCATCAGTGTCAGCAGTAATCCCAGTCTGTAGCCTTTAACCTTGGATCGTGAGTGAAGAAATACGATTTTATTATTGGAACATTTGTCCATGTCCAACAGCGTGTTTATCTCTGTGGTTATCGTTTAATAAAGAAAGAAAATTGAATATTTAATCGTAGAATTCAGCAGAACCTGATCCCCTCGGACTGCAGCGTCTTCACCCCTTTACCTGAATTTTCTTTTTTTTCTCTTTTGCAAGTTGTAGTCAGATGTTTAGCATTAATATGTGAATAGGAATCATTTGATTTGACCAAGTTATAAAACTGGATTTTTAAGGAACCATAATGTGTACAAGACATTAAACTCACAGACTAGTGCATTCATAGGATGTTCATACAGCAGCTTCCAATGCTATGAATTAACTAAAACGCTTGAGGTAAGTTATTATCCAAATTATTTTTTTATCTAAAATGCTTGAGGTAAGTTATTATCCAAATTATGTTTAAATAAAAAGCAATATCTATTTTAAACCTTAGTAATGGTAAGAATGAATCCACTAACCAATCACACCTGTACTAACCCTAACCACTGTGACTAACATTGTGGCACACCAACATTGTGGTGCAGCAGTATGTGTGTAAATATGAATTATAACAAGGCTGCTAAGCCCTGGTCCAACAATGACTACTACTACTACTAGATTATACAACATACTACCAACAGAGGGCGCTCCACCAGTGTTGTTGTATTAACTTTGATTATTCTGGAGGCCATAAAACTTCTGTGTCATTCCGGTACAACTGGATGTTGCACCATCTTAGCGTAGCTCAACTGTCGAAGGCCTGTGCACATCAGCCCATGAACACTGACTAACAGAGAACTAATAATACTTCTCTTCACTTCCTCATCCATCACTGCTCTGTTTCTTATTTGTTCCATAGTCCACATTAAGTTTTGAGATCAAATTAAGTATTTTGAGGAACATGTGTCAGAATTCTTCAGCAGCTTAGTTAGTGTATCTTTACTGTCAGAGTTGCAGCTCTCTCCTCGTGATAACAGTCTATATTAAGTGATTCTGATTCCTGGACAGACTGACCAAACAGTGAGTGGATGACTGCCAGTAATGTGTGTCAAAAGGCCGAGTGATTAGATGATTAGATCACATGACTTCTGACTTGAGTTCAAGGCAAAGATAACCAGATGAACAGCTGTGTTGACCCAACGACAGTAAGTCGGGATTTAAATAAACAAGGCGTTTTCACTCGAGGTGTGATGAATCTTTCAGTATCTGTTACAGAACTCTTGTGGTTTAAAGATTTTACCAGAAAATCCAAATTAAAATTGAGAACATCAGTGCTATTAAAAAAAGCCAATACCAAGCTTTGGGTTGACACATCTGCTGACACAGCTGCTTCATAAATGTTACTAGTTACCGATCGAACACATGAATCTCATTAAACTCAACTGTTTTTCTGATTTCGTTTATGTTGAAGCTGTTGCTTTTCTCAGATACATACACAAGACTGTTTTCCTAGGGCGGACGTCTCAGTTGTTTGTGTTGTGTAGAAGCTCCGAGGGCATCTGGAAGTGTTTAAAGGCTCACAGTAATATTGTACTGCAGACATGTGCACTGACATCTGGAGGCATAACAGATACCAAACATTTTGTCTTGTATTCTGCAAAAAAAAAATTTTTTTTCTTACATATACTGTATATGAAGTTATTTACATTCGGTTACTGCAACAGTTGAAGCAATGAGACTAGAGACGATAAAACAAAGATTCTAAACGAGGTTTTATTTTTTCCATAGTCCAGACTATTTTCACTATTTTTCACTTTTACTTCTTTAACTTCTATTCTAACTCTACCAAGTCAGTAAAACAACACACACCGGTACATCTGGAAACACGTAGTTTTAGAAAGCACACAACCCAGGAGAAACTAAAAACTGTTTTTATGTGGATGGGAAAAATATGTTGTTGATGAGTTTGGTGTTGACGAGTGGCTGCACTTTCTGACCTCAGTTAAACAGCTTTCTTGCAGTTTTACTGCACAGTATGTGGAAAAGAGAGAGAGGCCAAATGTGGTGGACGGGGGTCAAATGTTTGATGTGTGCTAACACAGACCCCCCCGCACCCCAACCCTCACCTTTGTTTGTCAGTGTACCCCCGACAGCCTTTCATCTTTGATCGAGGGCTCGGCCAATGGGGTTCAGAGGCGAAGAGTCACGGCAGCAACAGAGACACAACACGCTGGTTATGTAAACGGATGCCTTCTTTACACACACATGCACGCGCACAAACACACACACACCACACCTACTGAAGGACACTGTTTCAGACAGAGATTTGTCATATCACCACACACACACACACACACACACACACACCTATCATATCACTGTACGTCTTACTCTAAACGTTTCATGCCTGCCCATGGCTAAAGACAAACGATTCCCACACTCATATTTTCAGTGTATCAAATATGTTCTGTTGATACCAACCGAAAGAGACAGAAAAGAAACATTTTTTATACACACACACACACATTCTACACACACAGGTGTGGCTTTCCAGTACACCTGACAGGGATTAACCTGAGCAAACACAGTGGTGTTTAACTGCAGTGTATTCTGTCAATTATGTTGTGTTTGTTTGTGCAAATTATTTTCAGATACCAATGAGCTCACACTAACCACTGACAAGTGCACACTCTGACTGTTATTTTTGTGGATGATCAACACCCAGAAAGGTCGAACGTTAAATACAGAGGTCTCTTAATAAACAGTCACGTCCGACCTGAGTGTGAGTCACGGCCGTACGTCTTCACACCCACACAGTAGACACTATACACTATAGAAGTTAAACAGGCTACCTTCACCGCAGCAACACCTCAGCTGCACCTTGTCATTCAGATTCAGGCAGAGACACGCAGTGAGGAACAATTGTGGAAAAACAAGA